TGCTCCTCCTTTGCCAAAGGCAGGACGGATGGCACCTGCAACTGGAAAACGTTCAGCTTTAATTGATGAGCCTCGTAGTAGTAGGAGATTATTGATGAGGACAGCTGAAGATCATCAAACCTAAACTGGCAAGTGGCTCCGGCCCTCTGAGGCTGCACACATTCTGTGCAAAGTAAAAAAGCCAAAGGCAAATGTTCACACTGAGATACTGCCTGAAACGATGGCTTTCCTGGGGTAGCTCCTACCTACCTCTCCTCCACAGTCACCTCTTACCCGCAGGGGCCCTGAAGCCTCGGACTGTCTGTTAGAAGGTGGCAGAACCCCTGGAAAACACAAGAAACAAAGAATGTGCACAGATTCACCACAACACCTGGAAAAGAACATCTAGTCCTGTCCCAGAGTCAAGGCTCACCGGGACTCACCTGGATCACCTCCCCTCCGGTGCCTAGAGCCTCCTGGGCCCAGGGCTCTGCATCTCAAAACAATGGAAAACCAAACCCAAACAACAAAATCCTTAATACATGGAGTAAACGTGGAGCCAAAAGCCACATCTTCGTGCTGATGTCAGGTGACGATCCACCTTCTTGCTCTGCTCCTCTGGTCTCTGTTCTGTTCAACTCTGCTTTACACCCTGTCCCTCTGACACAGTAAAGAAACCCTAACTAAAGTCACCCAGACAGCTGGGAAGAGCTCAAAGAACCTCCCTTCTCTTTAGGCAAACCACGCAGGGTCACTGCCTGCAGCCAAAGACTGCAACTGCAAAGGCACAGAATATCTGGGAGAAGGAGAGGAAAACTTAAGTGGCCCATCTGAAAAGTCAGTGGGTGCCTTCACAGGCATTTAGGGGGCTCTTAGACAATGCTTTCCACCCATACTACCTTCAAAGCACCCCTGGCAATTCCTAAGCTGGCACCCCAGCCCTCCCTCCATCTCTGGGCCGTAACTCTCCACTGACTCCTTGCAAAACTGGGGGTCTGCAGCCATCTTCAACACAGAGCAGCTTCACCTGAGGACTGGATAACACTGGTGAAAAAATACCAAGCTGCAGCTGAGACGATCGGGACATCCCAAAAGATGCAAGGCTCCTAAGGAAAAGAAAAAAGGATAACAAATTAGGAAAGCACCTTACCAACACAGCACACAAAATTATTAAATATAAAAACCCTGCATTTGAGTGTAATCCTCTTCATTGCCATATGTGGCTCTGCTTCTTTGGATGCCAAAGCTGATGCTTCAATAAAGCAGGAATAGCTTGAGAAATCCCATTCAATGAAAGAAAGGGAGAACTCTTTTCCCATTGAAGCCCCGCTGCTGGATGACCTCCCTGGGCAAAGGCTGGGGTTAATATACCCCTGACCGTGCCCACCTCCCTTCCCGTGAGGCCCCGGGGGAAAGGGAGTAGCCCAATCCCAGACGGTATAAAGGCTCTGGGAGCAGGAGCACCTGAGTGGCATCTCTGACTTAAGATCCGGATGGGAGAAGAGTCTGCCGGAGAAAGGGACTGTTATTGTGAGCAGGTACTGTAGTCAGTATTGGATTTAGAGTTAGTATTGAATTAGGGGGGGAGCAGGGCGGGCTAGAGAAGCGCGGCAGGGGCTGTGGCGGCGGGAGTTGGAGTTGGGGCGGCTCGGGGGCTGGAGTTGGGGCGGCTCGGGGGGGGGTGGAGGGGGGGCGGCGGGGGGGGTGGAGCGGCGGGGCTGGAGCGGCGCGGGGTGGGCTGGAGAAGCGCGGGCTGGAGCGGCGCGGGGTGGGCGCGTCCTACTTGCGGGAGCTGAGGGACAAGGGTGATCCTGGTGGTACCGGAACAGGGCACGGCGGGGACCGGAGGGAGCCGACGGGACCCTCCGGCGGGGCTGGGCTGAGCCCCCGGGAATGCCGGGACCCTCCCAGGGCGCTTCGCGACGGGGGATGTGGAGTGAGATAATAACGGGAATCAGGAAGTGCTTCCGCGGACCCGCGCCCGGTTCGGGGGCTGTGCCGAGGTCTGGACCGGGAAAGTGCCGCTGTCCTGCGGTCAGGACCGGGGGAAATGGCCTTACAATGAGAGTGGGGAGATTCGGGTTAGAGATAAGGAAAAGCTTGGGTGGTCACGTATTGGAATAGGTTACCCGGGGAGGTGGTGGGGTCGCCGTTGCTGCAGGTGTTCCAGAGGTGTGTGGATCTGGGTGACGGTTTAGGGGTTACGGTGGCAGTGTTTGGTAATAGTTGGGCTGTGATGCCGAAAGACCCGGTCCGAAAAACTGCTCGGAGACTTTTGTATTTTTAAACAGCAAGGTATTTTGTTATTTAACGTTGGGAACAAGCCAGCTTGTACTTAATGACTCTTAATTAATTAATTAATTACTCACAATCTGCACTCTTTTGATTATGGTACTTAATTTATACCATAGCCATAAATTAAGTAATGATAACAATGCAATGGGACTCACCAATACTAAGATTGGATGTATTAGGAAATGGAACACTTGAGAGGCTGTGGGGGAGTATCCCAGAAAAATATCCCACTCATGATGTTCTTTTGCTTGCTCTATCTCTTCTGTATCTCAGTGTTCAAGCATCTTCTGGAAGAGACTGATGTCCATTCCTATTTGTAATTTAGTTACGTTATGATACAAGAAATAATCATTTTCTATTAATTGCTCAGTAGTTATTGGAATTAAGTAGTTAAAATCACAGCCTATTATTTTAGTCAAATTACAAACACAAAAATTAGTTCCATTTGTAATCTGTTAAATAATCTTTTCCTATAGAACCAGAATACCCAATATAGGGTTGGGACTGTGGTCACTCCAGTAATCCAGCCCAGGTTATAGTCACCATACTCAATAAGATCCCAGTAATCAGAGTCAGGTGAACTTGAGAGTGGTTGGTCTTACAGGTTCTGAGGTCTGTGGCTTCTCAGGGGCTCTCTTGGCCTGGGGTAGTGAGTCCAGGTGGGTGGTTCTTTTATCTGGAAAGGTCCATCTCACATTTATTGTAGAGGGTCTCCTGAAAAATTCTTAACATGTACCTGATCACCAGAAGTGAATAGATGTGCTTTATAACCAGGTTGTTTAGTCTGGTTTTCCAACACCACAACAGATTTCTTATTTAATTGTTTCTCCACAGTTATAACACAATCATAAACATACCAATTGCTTATCTGATCCAAAGCTTCACTATTAATATTCCATAAGGTCTGCATACAGAATTTCAAATGGACTTAGCTTTTCTTTAGACTGTGATTTGATCCTGATTCAAAACAAAGCAGTAGGTAAAGCTTGGTACCAATACAAATTTGTCTCTTGACAGATTTTAGCTGTTTGCTGTTTGTTGAAATGGTTCATCTCTTCCACTTGCCCACTTGCTTGGGGGCTGTAGGCTGTATGCAGTTGCCAATTGATTTTTAGTGCTTTACTTATTGCTTCTACAATTCATGCACAAGAGTGTGAACCTCCACCTGAAGAGATGCTCTTAGGCATTCCAAACCGTGGGATAATCTCGTGCAACAGGACAAAGGGTACAAGCTTTCTTTCCTGGGTTGGACAGCCGTGTCCAGGAGCCCCCTAAATGTCTGTGAAGGCACCCACTGACTTTTCAGATGGGCAACTTAAGTTTTTCTCTCCTTCACCCAGATATTCTGTGCAATTACAGCTGCGGTCTTTGGCTGCAGGCAGTGACCCTGGGTGGTTTGCTTAAAGAGAAGGGAGACTCTTTGAGCTCTTCCCATCTCTCTGGGTGACTTGGGTAAATCATTTCGTTCCCATGTCAGAGGGACAGGGTGTAAAGTATCCCAGAAGATGACAGCACATTGTCCAAGTCTGGTCAGAGCCAGTGACACGAGGACCTGCCTGGGTGACGGTGAGTAGAGGGATCATGGGGGCTGGGGCCACGTGCCACACTACTCAGATCTTGTGTCTGGTTTTCTTTCTCGCAGTTGACTCCTAGTAGTCTGACGATAGCAGAAACCTCTGAGCCAGCCCAGGTGCCCCTCCTCTGCATCAAAGATGGATTCGCATCCCCGGCTGTCGGCAAGATAAGTGCAGGGCAAAGACCCAGAGAGGGGTTGGGAGTCGGTGCAAGTGTGTGCCTCACCTGGAGGGATTTTTGAAATAAGTGCAGTGCAATGGGTGTCCTGTAACAGGTTATTTGGACACATGGAAGGAAGGGCTTACTTTGTATCGTTGGATTCACTTGTGCAGGGCAGAGCAGTTCC